AGCGTCGAAACTGTCAAGATACGCCGTTGTAAAAGCGGCAAAAGAAGGATTCTCATCTCCTCTGCTCGTTGCTCTCGTTTGTCTTCAGTGGCTTAGGTGAGTGAGGAGTTACCATGCCCATGCCAGTTGCCTTGGCGACAGCTACAAGGTGGTGACGTGCCCCCTTACTAGCTAGGAGGCTGATACTTCGGTATTGGGAGGCATAGCTTGGCTGGGAGTAGTCTGGTAGGGAGTTCATGTAACCTCCCCTGTCCCCCTGGTAAGTGGAGACTTGGGATAGCACAAGGTCTTTCGGCTTCGCAGATGGGAGAATTTCAAGTTTTTTTTTCATTTCCTGTGAACAGCGTGGGCTGGGAAGAAGGAGAGGGACATGGAAGAGGGGGTACCAATTTTGTGATGACTTTAATAATAATAATAACAATAATAATAATAATAACAACAACAACAACAATGATAATAATAATAATAATAATAATAACAACAACAACAACAACAACAATGATAATAAACTCACGGTTCGTACCCTTTTCTGAACAAAAAAATTCAAGGACTTTTCAAGGACACATTTCCCATTTTTTAAGGACTCCATTCAATTCTAAAAATAGCCTTGAGTATGTGTCTTTTTTAGTTCTTCCACAACATGAGCAATTTTATCCTGAAGGTCTTTCTGTGTTTGCTCCTTGTAGGTACTTGAGAATCCGGGTTGGGCAAAGTTAACGCCAAACTTCAAGGACTTTCCAGCACCGACTGCAATTTTCAAGGACTTTCAAGGCGCGTGCGAACGCTGTAATTAAAACTGTGCCTGACTCATCGACACCTCTAGGTAAGCGAAGCAAAGTTTTTATTAACACTCAAAAGGATTACGATCAAGATGTAGCATTAACCAACACAACAAACTGTGTTACAGTTGCTAGAATTCAAGGCATCCTATCAGCAGCAGAAAACTTCATTAGATTCAATCTCTCTCTTTTAACGTTCGAGGCGAAGTCTGTTAGGGAGTTGCGGTCCCGGGTTGTGGTGCGCATTCTACTTTTCGAATCCCCCATTATACCCTCTCTTTGTTCCCCAAATTTTGCATAAAGGATTGTTTTCAAATTCTCCTGGAAGGACTGTATATTCCCAAGAGCATTTGAAAACAAAAACTTAGGCAAATTTTGGGTGGCAAAAAGAGTGTATAGACTTTTTGGGAGTCTGAAAATAGCCACTACAATTAGCCTGCAGCCACTCAAGGGACACGCCGATCTAAACTCGGAGGCGAAAATATTTTAGGCCCTATGTTGGTTCTCGTTAAGCCTAATTTTCAGACGGCCACAGACAAACAAACCCCTCTTTGTCGCGTCTCTTCTGAAGTTGGCTAGTTTGGCTGCGCTTATTTTTGTTTGCTCTCCGCCTCCCCCGAAAAAAAAAAGAACGAAAAGTTAGGTCAGCTGCTTATCACACTGTCCTAACGTTTAGAGTAAAGGGATAAAGAAAACGTGTTTCCAATCCATTTAAGAACTCATGGGGTCACAAGTTCTATGCTTTTTAGTACGTGGGTTAGCGAGCTAAAAGAAGAATGGACACTATACGATGCT